ACAGGGGGAGAGAACCTGGGAGTGATGGGGAGAGGGACAGAGAGAGACAGACGGGGGGAGAGAACCTGGGAATGATGGTGAGAGTGAGAGAGAGAGAGACAGGGGGAGAGAACCTGGGAGTGATGGGGAGAGGGACAGAGAGAGACAGACGGGGGGAGAGAACCTGGGAATGATGGTGAGAGTGAGAGAGAGAGAGACAGGGGGAGAGAACCTGGGAGTGATGGGGAGAGGGACAGAGAGAGACAGACGGGGGGAGAGAACCTGGGAATGATGGTGAGAGTGAGAGAGAGAGAGACAGGGGGAGAGAACCTGGGAGTGATGGGGAGAGGGACAGAGAGAGAGAGAGAGAGAACCTGGGAGTGATGGGGAGAGGGACAGAGAGAGCAGCAGAGACAGAGACATTGAGGGGTCCTTATTGAATTCCTGCCAATGACTGACCCCCTTGACAGGACCCTGGTGGACTGTGCCCAGCTGTTGGAGGTAGATGACCTGTTGTGCACAGAGTCTCCAGACTGGAAATGTATCTACACATACCTGCAGGAACTCTACCGCTGCCTGGTACAGAAAGGACTCATCAAAACCTCACCCTAACATCTCTCCCCACTCCCCCAGCACATGGTGAGAATCTTCACATCATTCACCCAATCCCACCCAGAATTCACCGCAGCAAATTATCGCCTTCCTGGCCCGAGTTTATTCAGCAGACCAGCCCTTCTCTACAGGTAAATGACCCCTTTTCAAACACGCAGCAGGGAGCCTGTTTAAGCAGGGAGTCTCTCTCTCCCTCTCTCTCTCTCTGGCAGGGACCCTGTTTAAACAGGATCTCTCTCTGTCTGCGTCAGGGACCCTGTTTAAAGAGGGAGTCTCTCTCTCTCTGTCAGGGACCCTGTTTAAAGAGGGAGTCTCTCTCTCTCTCTCTCTCTGTCAGGGACCCTGTTTAAAGAGGGAGTCTCTCTCTCTCTCTCTCTCTCTCTCTGTCAGGGACCCTGTTTAAAGAGGTAGTCTCTCTCTCTCTCTCTGTCAGGGACCCTGTTTAAACAGGATCTCTCTTTGTCTCTCTCTGTGTCAGGGATCCTGTTTATGGAGGGAGTGCCTAATTTTGGCACTGATTTACTTTGAGAGAAGGGTAATGCTGTGTAAATTCACCTCTTCCCTATTTTTCCCGCTGCCTTTCTAACTGCCTTGCTATCAGCAGCATTTCCTCCAGCCTGCAATGATTTCAACCGCTTATCTTTCTCCTGCTTTTCCCCGTGAGTGAACGGGAAGTCAGCACAACAGGAGTTCGCTTTGAATTCGGTCATCCTGTTTGCAATTGGCTGAGTGTTTGTGTCTCAGTGTGCACTTGTGGGTCTGTGCTTATATAAAGGTCTGCAGAGGTGTGCACAAGTGTCTGTGTGTGTGTGTGTATCTGTGTGCCTGTATCTGCGTGTGTGTCTGTATGTGCCTGTATCTGTGTGTGTATCTATGTGTGTGTGCTGATGTATATCTGTATGTGTGTCTGTGCGTGTGTGTGCCTGTGTGTGCATCTGTGTGTGTCTGTATGTCTGTATGTGTGTATGTCTGTGTGTTGGTCTGTGTGGACCTATGCATGTCTGTGTGTATCTCTGGGTGTCTCTGGGTGTCTGATTCTGTGTGTGTGTCTGTATGCTTCTGTATGTGTATCTGTGTGTCTCTGCATGTGTCTGTATGTGCATCTGTGTGTGCGTGTTTGTCTGTGTATCTGTGTGTCTGTATTTGTGTCTGTGTGTGTATCTGAGTATGCATGTGTATCTGTGTGCCTGTATGT